AGCTTTGGTGTGAACAAAAGGTAAAAAGAAATCCACTTGCTAACTACAGGAGTTACGCCTTGACAAATGTCTGACAGACATGTTGACATCATTATTTAAAGCAATTCTTTGAAAAATAAAACAAAGTAGTCAGTTAATACATCCATGTGAAATATTCGAACGTTTCAAAACTATACACATCGAAAATGACACGTTATTTTTTTGGATTCAACAGGTTTTTCAAGTGGCAAAAAACAACGAACAAATGGGCAATATCTTCAAGTGACTAAACTGATCCATCATCTTGGTTTTTGCCATTCCAACACCAAAGACAACAGCGTCTGGTCGGTGAGTTCATGTTGCCTGTCAAAATTAGCAAAAATCAGAGGGCAAATAAAATATAGTCTAAAAAAATCACTTTAAGAGCGCAAGGGATCCTCAGTTGCACTCGTGTTCAAATTAAGTTATTACTGATGTCTGATAAAAAAATGACACCGATAAATTACACTCCCCTTACATCATCTAGTAAGCAATCTCAAATGAACTTGCTGTGGTTCCTGACACTCATGACATACGATCTACAAAATTCTGAAACCACATAAGCAAGTCTATTTGAGATAACTTGACTGGATGCAGCTGAGGTAAGTGTAATGATTTCAGCATGCAGTTTTCATGATGCTAACTGATGAAACATAAACTTCCATTACTTGCTAGCTTCACAGCTCCAGTACAAAACTAAAGTAAACTTCAGACATCAAACAGGTCTTGGCTGGTACACTATAATTACGTTTAATGGAAAAACATTCAATTTGATTCAGAGCCAAAGACTATTTTCCACACAAATTACCATTTCAGTATCTAACAACAGCAAGGCCTACTTATTTCAATGCTCACTTGCTGTGTCTCTTTATCTCTTTCACTCTCACACAAATACCCTTTCTATCTGGGAATCCTCTGTGGGCCAGCAGTGATGGGTCTGCGATTTGTCTTATTGCAGAGAAGAAGAGAGACCTCACGCTGTCCCATCTGCGGTGGGCACAGAGAGAGGGGCACTCTTAATCCTGTTTGGGGGAACTCCCTTTTGCATACTCTCTCTCTCCACCTGTTATAATCCCTAAGCCTTCCAGCCCTGGGGATCGTCTGCCCTTGCTGCTGCTCCGTAACAGCACTCCTGACTGGAACGAATGCAGCGGCCGCACAGAACAACAGCAGAAATTTTAATTGCTTCCTGTGGTAAAACCAAGGAAGGCTGAGGGAGCCTCTGTTAGAACAATACAAGCACAAGAAAGAGGGAGTACAGAGATAAATGAACCAAGTTACTTCACAAAAAATATTTGTCTATTAAAAATTAAACTACTTTTCAACAGACTTAGTTGCATAAAGTAAACCAGAAAGCTATTTTTCTGAAATTTCTTTTAATATTTAATTTAGAAGCTGAATACATAAGAACACTTAAAAGTAACACATGAAAAACATCAATAACTATTCCAATAAAGGACAGTTTAACCATAAAAGAGGCAATGTCTTAAGATTTTATGTAGTCAAGACAACAGAAAGTTTAACTGAAAGTGCATGCAAATGACAAATCAAGTACTGATGTATTATTCTTATTACAACTACTTTTTTTAATTATTGTCCACTTGTCACATTTGTGTGGTTTTATGTACCAAAAATTGTTACACAATTTTCCAACCTCTTTTAATTCCTTAAAATTAAAGGATCTTTTTGTTAATGTGCCTTTTAAGACTGACATATGTAAAAGCGCTCTGTTCTGAGTGGCTGCTCTGTATTGAACCTCAATTAAAAAAGCAGTCCAGGCTGAAATACTCCTTATAACTTCGGTGTTAATGGGTGGGGCTAAACTGCTGTAGGTTAATATTTAGGTTAATACATGTGCCATTTTTGTGACATCACAAAACAATGAATTTAAAATTGGGCTGTTATTGCAGCATAATTTCCATATATGGACAGTATGGACTGGAAGGTGAATGGTACTTTTTGAAACTTTAAAAAAAGTTTACATACTATATCAATCTCCTATGTCAAAAAATTTGACTTTTTGTGATAAAGATCCTTTACATGCTCCATTACATGTTTACTAAAGTAAACAAAATCTCATGTTAAAGGTACACTAAGCAACTTATGGTTCGGTGAAACTTCATAAAATTTTCATGTACTCATTTCCACTTAGTTGCAGACGATCGGCTGAGACATGTTTGGGGTCCAAAATCGCCTTCTTTAGTTTAAAACTGGAGTGGAGAGACTAACATTGTTAACAAACAATGTAGACATCCAAATAGCTCTGTTTCTGTAAAAATGCATAACTTCTGTTAGACTGCACCCAGGCCTTCATTAAGGTTGTGCAGACTTGTCAGTGTGGTTTTAGTCACAGTATGACTTACAGTGAACTAAAAAAAAAATGAACAAAACTTCAACGTGTAGCTGAATGCTGCAGCCACTTTAAACAACAGGGTCTATATTCATGAACCACTACATAAATATAAGATGAAGATGAAGATGAATACAATCATGAAGAGTAGGAGTGCTGATCTAGAATTAGTATTTGTGACCATGACCGTCATAGACACAGAGGTACCTGATCTAAGATCAGCCGAACCGCTTCTAAGTGAGACACAATATAGAGCAACCACTCGGGACAGAGCTTATTTACATGCATCAGTCTTAAAAGCACCTTAGCAAAAACAGGTTGTTTAATTGTAAGAAATAAAGAGTTGGAAAATGTTCTTGTAACAATAACTTAAATTCACAATACACATCACAATACTTGGACACCCAGACACAATATAATAGCTGGTGCTTCTTTTAAAAAATGATAAAATGATATGAATAAAATCCCAAAGTGGATCTCAAAGGAAAAATATAATAATATACAAGAAAGAATGTGTAGAATATGGCCCTTTAACAATGGGTGCGCATTTATATAGTTCGAGTCCCTTATATTGTTGCATTTGAGTTCCGGTTCACTTAGCGTTTATACTGACATATTTGACATCGAATCGAAAGATGTAAGTAAAAGTCAAGCAAGTTTTCTTATTATTAAAGTACAGCAGGTGAAAGTAAATAAAACACAGCGCTAATGCCAGTAACATCAGCAGCGTGAGCACCGGAGGACACCTTTAGCAGACTGCGCTGGACAGTGCTCAAGAGAGAGATAAATCAACAGCCTGCAAACTAACAAAAGCAATGCCAAAACTAAAAGCTTCAGTTCCCCTGGAAACAAGTAGAAACATGTCAGAAATGTCTGTTTTCCACATACCGAAGAAGATCTGCTAAAAAAAAGACGACGGTCTATTCGGTCCATACTATGTTCATATTTCAACCAAACAGCACCAGATATTGCTTGGAAGTGGACCAAGACAAACTTCCTCATGGGGTCTCGGTCTGCCTATTTGGATTGCTTGGAGGCATTCTCATTAGTTCCAACAAAGCATATAAACATTATATTAAATAAAACTGAATTGTGAACATACTCTATTATTCACTATTTTCTCTCACTCCTGGATGTTAAATATCCATTGGAAAGTCTTTAGTACTTTATATGTAGAGTTTTTTTAAGCATAATATACAATTCCCAGTTCTTCTGAGAATTGGTCAGGTGTGTGAGCAGGCTCTGGCGTGCGGTTACACTGAAACACGCAGTGAGTGCTGTGGCTGACAGCGTGTCAAAAGCATCCGGACATCCATTCACAAAGCTAGCACGCTCACAATGGAGCTCTGTCTCAGATGGAGCACACTGAAACCGCAAACATCCCCTCCGACTAAAACTGACACCCACCACGCTTTTACATGTAAAGAAATAACGTGATCCAAATCCTATCACATTTTCACTGATGTCTTCAAAAACACAGAAGGCATAAAAACGTGTTCATAATTAGAAAAGTCAAACCTGTTGAAACAGAACGTAAATACACACACATCTCATATATATATATATAATGTATTGCTTAATTATCTAATTGATAGGGGTGTAACAATACACAAAATTCACAAATACAAACAATACACAAATCAGCAAAAACAAAGTGGCTGAAACTCCGCCTTATGTTATTATGTTAGTGCTTCAATTTTCATTTTGTTAGTGCATTCAACACTATAAATGCACAATATTTTATAATAACACGCTGGTAACACGTTAATATGTTAGGCCCAAGATACACGTACGAGGAGGGTGCTTTTCCTTTCTGCTCTCGATTTTGAGGTAAAGAGGATATTGTCAGAGGATCTTCCTTCTTTGTGGGCTTGCTTGCTTATTTTTTATTTTACTTAATGTAGTTCAATCACTATTAAAATGAGTATCTCCAGTCTGTTCAAGGCATTATTTGATTCCACCTGTGTGTGTTGAATAGAGAGGCTCGTACAAAATCATATAATATGATAAGTTGTTACACTACAAGTAATTCAGTGTGTAACCATATAATTACATTGAAACAGTACAGCAAATCAACAGTAATAGCTGCAGACTTCTAAGTAGGGGTGACTGACATTGCAAAAATATAATACCATGATACTTAAAAACATTTTCACAATACACATCACAATACTTGGACACCCAGACACAATATAATAGCTGGTGCTTCTTTTAAAAACTGCCACCAAAAACCCTGACTGCAACTTGTCATATACTATTTATTTAGCTGTCTTTGTCATAAAACTTACAGTTAGACAGTATTGACGATATCCATAGTACACGAAAGTATATTGTTTAGTGTTATGATTATATTCACAATAACAATGTATTTCATCTACTTCTAAGGGATAAATGCTTTACTCAAGGGAACAATGCCAGCAACTTTTGACTGGACTTGGACCCCTGACCTCTTAGCCATAACCAAGTTCTCAGTCTGCTGAGCAGGACAATGTGAACTCAAGGGCAGACATGTTATGGTTGAACACACATGCCACACTGGAAAGGAGCGTGTGAAACAACCATAAAGAACCAGATAAAGTGAGCGAGAAGTTAAGGACATACGGGTATGCAGGTGCAGATTAAGGAGAATCACCTGTTGTTGAGACGTGTGCGCTCACAGCTTTCAGAAACAAAGCTCCTCCAAAGAATAGAGTGAGGGCAGGAAACTCTTCATGGGTTGACAGCTTTCGCCTAAGGAAAAGAATGAGAAGAGAAAGTCAAGTTGGGAGGGTGAGGTCATTGGTAGCATGACTTGTTTGACAATGAAAACAAGACTGAAATAAAGCAATGTTTGTTCAGAGGCATAAAGGTGGTAGGTTCTTATGACGACAATGATGTTATTTGAAATGTCAAGCTCTACGGAGGAGTGGATGACCTGGCAAAAATATAATATCAACAGTGTTTATTGACAATGGTTTGTTAAAGCATTCTCAAGCCCACACGGTGACATCCATCACAGAAACATGCTTGTTTTGAACGCATTGCCGTCTGAGGGGCATTCACTTGTGGTCTTTGGCCTTGTCCTTTATGCATGGAGATTTGTTCAGATTCCCTAAATCTCTTGATGATTATTAGGTACTGTAGAGGGTGAAATACCTAAAATTCTTGCAGTCACCCCCTGAGGAACGTTAGTTTTGGATTTTTTGCTGATTCTTTTCTTTTGTCAAAGTGGTGAGGCTCGATCCATCCTATCCCCATAGTATGTAAAACACCATTCAATTCTAATTCAAGCCAAAATAAACAGATAGCATGTTTACTGTACTCCAAAACTACAGAATGTTTGGGTGACCTTGGGCTACTTTTAGGGCTGAATGATGAATCATTTTTTAATCGAAATTGCGATTTTAATGGATTTTTGGAATCGCAGGACCTACAATTTGAATTAGCTAATAGCCTGCAAATTTTACAAGAGAAAAAAAAACAAACGCGCAAACTTCCTTCTGATGACCAATCAGAACCCGACAATCATGCATATGCCCTGACTGACAAAGAAGCACAACTATTAACAAGCAGCTTGGTGCTAGGTGTCAGGGAAAAAATGAGCACTTTATCTGAGCAAGCGAGTGAGGCCCAAGGTCCGGTGGAAGAGCTGCTACCAAAGAAAAACAGCACATCATGTGTGACGGAGTGTTTTGGTTTCAGGAAAACTGACATGCGTCAAAAACAGGTACTGTGCAAGACATGTCGAACATCGGTGCTAACCTCACAAGGCAACACCACAAACCTCAATCAACATTTGAAGAAGCATCACAGACATCTCTATGATGAGTGTATATCTAAAAGGTCCAGCCACGAACCCCTACCTCAGTCACAATTTCTTAACGTGACGGCCAGGCAAACCTCCATTACACAGCCGTTCAAAAGCATCATGCCATATGAAAAAAGCTCACGAAGGCACCGTAAGATAACAGACGCTGTTGCGAAGTACTTAACTAAACACACGGTGCCAAACACTTGACAAAAGATACCAGATTCCCTCTTGCACATACTTCAGCCAAGTCACTTTTCCAGAACTGTATGCTTTGTAGTGGGTGCAGGAAAAAAATCGATTCTTAGATGCATCGCGATGCGGACGTGAACGATTCTGAATCGATTCACAAATGTCAAAAATCGATTTTCTAAATATTTTATTTTTAACGTAATAATTACGGAACGCAAAAGGCGGAACTTGGAAGTGGGTAAGTGCAGCGCCTGGACAGTCTGTGGCAGCACATAACAGAAACACTACTGGATGAGCGAGAAATCCGACCGGCTCCCTCTGCATTAAAAGCCAGGTTAGGTCAGGAGTCACAACACAAATGTTCAGAAGAGCCATTTTGTCTTTCAACAAAAATCAAACCACCTTGGGAGCCGCAACATTTAATGTCCAGTATGTTATAATGTCCTAGTATAGACTAAACAATATAAACGAGAGCGCAGATCTACTTTGCTCTGCTTTAAGCTTCGTCTACAGCCGCTTTCCTCCCATCTCCGCCAGAAAATTTATCCTCAAAACTAGAGCAGTTTATTGTAAAATGTCTCTCAACATTCGGCTGTCTTACAAGGCTGAAGTCGCTTCTCATTCTCCAGCTTCTTGTTCGAATTTTCCCGTTCCACCTTAAATTCTGACTGAGGCGCCGAATGTAAATGCGGCACCATTTATGGTGGAACGAGAAAATTCGGAAGAGAAGCGACTTCATCTTTGCGACTTTTTGCTGTTCACTGTCTCTCGTTGCAGATTTAACTTGCCAGGACACCAACTGCATTGCTTATAAATGCGAATAACGCATCGTTGCTATGTGACCTGCAGTCCGCACGGCAATTCTCAGTCGTTGCGAAACAGGGCTTTCGCGATATGCTGCACACGTCCCGAAGATATTTTACTGACACAGCGACCCCCCCCCCTCCTCTCTACAACGAGAGCAGAACCAAAGTTATAGTCACTAAAACGGGTAGGACGGCTGTAACATGTGCTGCGTGGACATCCGCTGCCACTGGATCTTATTTCACCGTAACTGTGCATTTTATCGCAGATGAGTGGCAGCAGCGTCTCATGTGCTCCAAAGGCAGTGAATGAGAGCCTTCGAGTTCACTTGCCACATCACTTCCATTTGATTTATTAATAAAAGATACTGGAAGTAAATTCATTATGGATCATTACAAATACTTTGCTTTAAAAGTACCAAGTCCTCACACACTGAGAAAACAGAAATGATGTATAGAAAAAAAAAAGATGCATCGAGATGCATCGATAATCATTTTATAATCGCATCGCAGCCCTCTAAATCATAAACGAATTGAATCGTGAGGTGCCTAGAGATTGCCACCCCCAATGCTTTGTGTAGGAACAAAGTTGAAACGGAGCTGAGAAATGTGGAGTACGCGACAACTACAGACATGTGGCCTCACTATTCACTTCATAAGTGAAGATTTTGAATTAAAGAGTCATTGTCTACAGACGTCATACTTTCCTTTTGACCATATGGGAGAGAACATCGCTACTGGAATGAAAGATGCTTTGGCCAGATGGGGTCTGAATGAAGAGGGGCAAGTGTGTTATAACAGATAACACGTCCAACATGATAAAGGGAGTCAAAATAAACGAGTGGACCAGGCTACAGTGTTTTGGCCACAGACTCCATCTTGTGATCGCTAAGTGTCACATCAAATAACATTTATAAATTTCTCTCCCTCCCTCTGAGTAACATTAAGAAGAAAATCATTATTTAGAAGAAATCATATTCTGATTATACTAACTCGATCATTTTTTGTAGTATCAATCTGTATGCAATCAGGATTGATTACAGAAGTAATGTCATTGTACTTAAAAAAGAACATGTTGTAGTTATTCAGTTACTTTAGGATTACGTTTTTGATTTGCCAGAATTACATTTTCATTCAGCAATGTCAAACAATCTCTCTATTAATTCTTAATTCACTGAGTATCCAAAACTGTATGAAAGCTGTTTCACTTTCATAGTCACAAGTGATTTGGAGAGGAAGACAATGGAGGCATACTTAAGACTACTATGTTCAGATAATTATGAAATGGAGAAAAAAAAAGTGTTAAAAACAGTGATTGTTTAGTGTGCACTTGATGTGGAAAAAACAAACATTTGATGTTATTCTTAAGCTTATGTGATAATTTATATTTTTATTCATTGTAGCCTTTTAATAAAACTAAAAACGACATAATCGCAATATTATGCAGCACATTCGCAATTACATAATTTCCCCATATCATTCAGCCCTAGCTACTTCGGTAAAATGTCTGTATTTTTATTAATTTTACTCCACTTGTTACCCTGCAGAAAAAAATGTTATTTCTCTCCTTATAGCTAGTCCAGGTAGATGTACTACTGTTTCTACATTTAAGAAATGTTTATCTGCCCACAATCCCCATTGCTGCATCCGTACCATCACATATATGTTGCAACAGCCCCAACTACATCCACTCGAGCATGGCCAATAATCCTTTCCTGGACTGCCAACATTATGCCAACTCGCAAAGTTCTGCCAATAAAGCGGAATCTTAGACAGCTTAAATAGACATTGATTTAGACATACGGTATTGGTATAGAACATGTATGTTACGTGCAAGTTTAAAAAGGCACTTCATACTCACAAACCTCATTTATACGGTTCTATAAGGAAAGAACCAAAAGTGTTTTTCTATGGCATTGCTCCAAAGAACTCATATTTGGCACCTTTATTTTTTAAGAGTGTTGATGTTCTGAAAGTCCTGATATGTATGATATGCTCAGAAAAGTGCATTAACTTATATTGATGATGATAACACGCTGTCATACTTTCAGCTTCTGACTTTAATCTGTCCTGACAGTGCTCTCTTCTTCTGGGGGATTGCTAAAATGCCTGCCAAACAACACTGGACAATGGCCTGCAACATAAACAACTATGCAAGGTAAAATATATCTTAGTAAACAAAATATTTAGTGTGAATGTTTTGGAGAGACATTTCGCCAGTGAGTGGTACATCAAGAGGGGATTACTCAGAGGTGAAGGGAGGGAGACAAAAGAACTCAGTGAGTATGAAAAATCACAGGGACAGGGTCTAAAAACTTTCCACAGGTATTATTCTCCATTACATGCACTGCCAAGAAGCTAACAAGAGAGCACCATGATGTAAAGAGATGTGACAGAATTTTACATCAAAAGTGTTCTTTCAGAATCCCTTAGAATCCCTCAGAACTCCCTCAGAGCTCATTTACATGCTAGGGATGGACCAGTATTAACTATATGTTAAGCCTGATTAAATCCCAATACTTTCTTAAAGCTATTTACCTCACTGTGTTGTATTTTTGACACTGCTGTAGGAGCAACATAGGCATTATCCACAGCTTCCAGCAGTGAGGCATATTTTCAGAAGTTGATCATTGATTTAAATGTCTTCATTGTGGAATTACTTAAAGTGGAAAATGAAAACAGACAAACAGCTACTTTCAGAACTGACATAAAGGAGTAGGCTACTTCACGTTAGACTTAGTGATACATTGATAATGCTATTAATGATCTTGCCAGGCATACACTGTCCGATTTTAGCTTGTTTTAAAACACACACAAACACTACCCCAATATGAATGGAGATACTTAGGCTAGCAAAAGAAAGGAGGGGAAATCAACACTTGCTACCAAATTCTGTATGTGACCGAATAGAACTGCAAGATATGAACATTAATACAGTAATTTTTTAA